GGTTGTTGGGATTTATACTTGCAGCTGCATCTCTGGACGTGGGTAATGGGTAGCTTGCAACAGCGCACTGGTCCCCATCTGATTTTTCCTGGGGCAAGGAAATGTGCTTGTCTGTGATTTGGGAAAACAAAGGCACCCCCCACCCAGCCAATGCTTTGAGAGGCAGTGAAAGCAATTAAACGGTGTCAGAAGACCCAGGGAGGGTGAGGTGGTGAGTGACTGAGGGCTGGGCTGATGCAGGCACGCCTGGGTGGAGAGCTGGGCATGCCTGGGGAATAGAGGGTTATTGACTCCATCTCCAGCTGTGTTTCGTTAGCTGGAATCATAACCCACAATATTAATCTCTAACTATGTATAAAGGGAGCCCTAATACACGAGGCAGCTCTGCAGTGCCCTCATCACTCACCCTTGCAAAGGCTTTGGGAGTTGCAGAAACCTTTTACTTCCTGGTCACCACGCTCAGCAGGGAGAGGAGAAGTGATGTTCTGTCCAAGGGGTGGGGAAATCCTTGTGTTAGGAAAGGGAGGTGCAGGCTCTGAAGAGGTTTCCCCTGAGCTGAGTCAGTGTTTGTCCTGACAGCAAACATCTTTGACTCCTCTCAGGCATGGAGGAGGCGGTGCAGGGTAGGGGAGAGCACGCCTGTGATAACTGACTGCAGCAGGGTTTTGGCTGGATTTCACCCACAGATGTATTGTGGGGAGCAGGTCCTCAGTGAGGATCCATCCTCCATTCCCCCTGCTCTCAGGGCTGGAATCTGTTCTTTATACCACCTTCTGCCTGTACTCCCTTGGCCAGGGAGCTGGCAGGCAGCCTGGCTTTGCTGGGCTGAGCTATAAGATGTATTTAGTGCTCCATATACTTCATCCAGGAGTGCTGCTCCTGCGCTAGCAGCTGGTGGCTCTGGAGCTATGGAAAATGCTCCCTCTGACCCACTGGCCACACCAGCCCTACCAGTGTAAGGAAGCCAGCTGGCAAAGCCCACCTTCCCCCTTCCCTTCAAGTGTGTAGAAATGGAGCTGTTTAACAGGGGTAGCCAGAGTCCCAAGGTGCCTGATGCTCTGCAGAAGGTGCCTTATTGATTGGGTTGCTCTCCCAGGCATCAGGTATCCCGGTGAACATCAACAAGTCAGGAGGCAGTTTGCTTCTGGAAGTACTCGAACCTTCAGGTTCAGTCTCTGGCAGTGTTCAAGGCCAGGTTGGATGGGGCTTGGAGCAAGCTGCTCCAGTGGAAGGTGTCCCTGCCTGTGGCAGGGGTTGGAACTGGATGAGCTTTAAGGTCCCAACCCAAACCAGTCTGGGATTCTGTAAGATCTCTCTAATGACACTGTCACACAAATACAAGCTTTTTTAATGTGAGATTATGAGGTTTACATCAAATATCTATAAATCCTAATGTACCTCCCATTACATAGCGATGCCACTGCAAGACCCTTGAGTGTATTCTTGCACCTAACACTGCTTTAAGTACACTGCATGGCAAGTGATGGTTGATAAACCTGAATCTGACTGCTCGTCCCTGCACATACTGCTCCGCTCTGTAGGTACTTGCCTGTCCTGTGTCTGTACCAAAGTGACAAAGGGCTTCAGCAAAAGCCATAGTCACAGGGATGAGTCCATGCATGGAGAGTGCTTCTCACAGTTGAGTGTGTTTTCTTTGTAGCTTGGACCAGTGCCCTTTCAAGTCAATGGAAAGACGATTGTAGCAGGCTCTGGCCCAGGCTTCTGGCTACCTTTGTGCTTAATTTAAAAGTGATGTGTATCTACTGTGAATGCCTCTAAACAGATTAAGCAAGTGCAATTGATTCAAAACTGGCTGTAGATGAACATAAAAGGCAAAATTGATTAGCTCAGTCTATTTTAATTTTCTGGGAATAGGGAAAACGTCGGAAAGAAATAAATAAACTGCCCCAAACCTAATGGCACAAGTACAAAACAAACACAGCTTAAAAGGAAAGCATTGCCAGTGCTGGAATGCAGGTGTTTGCAGGGACAGAACAAAAGCAGTGCAGGTCATCTGTGAGCAGAGATTGCTGCAGGTGCAGGTGCGCTTTCTCTCTTCCATTCATGTTTAAAGGAAGAAGCTCTGTGTGTTAGGTAGTGTCATAGCATCCCAGCCTGGTTTGTGTTGAAGGGACCTTAAAGCTCATCCACCTCCAACCCCTGCCACGGGCAGGGACCCCTTCCACTAGAGCAGCTTGCTCCAAGCCCCTGTGTCCAACCTGGCCTTGGACACTGCCAGGGATGGGGCAGCCACAGCTTCTCTGGGCACCCTGTGCCAGCGCCTCAGCACCCTCACAGGGAAGAGCTTCTGCCTAAGAGCTCATCTCAGTCTCCTCTCTGGCAGGTTCGAGCCATTCCCCTTGGCCTGTCCCTACATGCCTTGTCCCAAGCCCCTCTCCAGGTTTCCTGCAGCCCCTTCAGGCACTGGAGCTGCTCTGAGGTCTCCCCTTCAGGAGCTTTCTCTTTTCCAGGCTGAACAAGCCCAGCTCTCAGCCTGTCTTCATACAGATATCTATAGAGATCCATACATACATATTTGTATATTACATGTATAGGCTTATAGATCTCTGTGTGTCTATATATAGGTGTCTATGTGTCCAGCAGCTGTAGGCATATTCCAGGAAGGAATAAGCATTCTGAGGAGCAAGGGAGGGGGAACCTGGCTTCCAGGTCTGGTGGGCTGTTGCTCTGGGTTCAGTGCCTCCCTGTTCGCTGCACTCTCACTCTTGTTAGAGCTGATGAGTCCCTGGGCAGTCACTGAGACCTGGTAAGTGCTCCAAGGTACCGTAATGGCCATAAAATGATTTTTAGTGTCTGCTCGGTGCTGTTCTCTTCAGGCTGTGGAGTCACAGCAGGGAGTGAATTGTGATTATTTTGAAGTGGAAATTTGCACAGCCCTCGCCTCCCCCTTTAATTGTTATGATAAATTGCAACTTCAGGCATACATATATAAAGCTCTGGCATGATAAAGCTCACGCTGATTTATGCCCTAGCTTTTCAGCATGACTGAACTCTGGTGCACGTACTGCCCTCCTTTGCTCCTCCTCTCCTTCCCCTGCCTCTCCTCCTCCCTGCTGTCTCTTAGCTGGAGTCACTAAGGTGGCTTTACACAGAGGGTAAGCTTGGTGCACATTCCGGAACAGGAAAGGGACCAGGGGTGGAAATACCCCTCAGTATGCAAGAAGTATTTAAGGGTAGGAGATGTGTGTTTTAGATGAGATGCTCCTTCAGGGAGCAGTGAGAAACCTTTGTGCACAGGGCCGTGTGTGTGTATCCCTGCCACTGTTACTGTGGAGGGAGCCCACAGGGTGAGAACTCACTAAAGCCTCTGCAGCTTCATCCAGGTACTTGTGATACTTGGAGGTGTGGGAGCGTTCACCTTGTTGCTGTCCATGGGTTTGTCTTCTTCACATCACTCCCAAGAAGAAAATGTGTGTTAGTTTTCCTTGCATCTATGTGTTTCCCCATTCCTAAGCCAGTCTGGCCCATTGCTCCTCTCTCCCTTGGGTGTCTGCTGTTCACAGACAGCTGTGTTCTCGGCTTGGACGTGCATCAGAAGGGGAAGCTAATGTGCTTCCTTGGGGTGATGCCTTCCAGATGGATTTAGCCAATTATCACAGCGATTAGGGCTCCCCTTAATGACCACAAATGGAATTCATTGATGGAGGTAAACAAGAAGTTTTTGCTTTGTATTTGGGGAAAGTTCTCCATTTGTTCAATTAAAACAGCCTGGGCTCTTCCAGCACTTGGGCTTCCTCCATCCTCCCCTGTGGAGCCCGGCTGACTCCAGGACAGGAGTTTGCCAGGTTTATATGGGAAGTTGGAGTCCATGTTTCAGAGAACCTGGTACCAGTTAGGTGTTACTCTGCATTTACTCCACCTATTGACACACTTCTCTTCCTTGCTAAGGTCGTGTTTCTTCTCTATGACTTGTCCTATCGAAGGAAGTCCTGTTGAAGGAAGTATTCCTGCATTACCTGTATGAAGAACGTGCAGGAATCTTTTCTCCACTTCCCCTCACTGTGGTTCCCTTCCCTGTTTCATGATTGTATTTGTTTAAACGCTGAATTCTGTGGGGCAATGACATGATGGTCTCCTTGTGTCTCTGTGTACATCTTTCTCTTGTCTTACGGCTGTCTTGGTCCATCACAGGTCAGGCTAGAAACATGTTCTGTCACAGTGAAAGCTAAAACCTATCAGGCTCTGCATTAGGCTGCACTAGGCTCATACAAATGGTACAAACTTAGAGTAATCTGTCACACATTCTCACTACATGCAGGCTGGGAGGTTGGGGTCATGTTGTGCTGCGTTCTGCACACAAATACACTTGCAGTGGGAAAGCAGCTTTTGCCTCCTGGGAGTTCTCCTGCTGTTCACTTGTGTCGTGTCAGAAGGGGAGCACACTGCCAGGACCACCTAGGGAAGGTCTGCACAAGGCAGGACCTGCTGGGTTCACCTGAGCATGCAAGTGAACAGTGAGAAGGAGCCTCGGTAATTCAAGATGAATTCATGTGGCCTGTTCGCTGGTGTGAGGGGCAAACTTGCTGCTGGCTGGCATGAGCAGTTTTCCCTTTGCAGTCAGAAGTGGCCTGGATTATCTGGATCACGTCCTCCTGGGCTGCTGGCAAAGGTTTAATGTAATCCAGTATGCTATGTTAATGGACAATGTTTGATAGGTAATATTCTGGAGAGAGAGTCTGGTGCCTAATTCTGCTGCCATCTCCCTTTCCTATTGGCGTGGATGAGATGCAACCTAGGAATGAAGAGGTGGGAAGAGGCTGGAAGTGCATGGCTTGATTAGAACTAGAACTACAAAGAGATGTGCCTCTGCTGAAAAGGCATGTGCAAAGTGAACACAGCCTTTGCCCACCCAGCATCAGCCTGAAACCTGCACTGATGCCATTTGAGGCTGCCTGGTCCTGCATTGCCTAACCAAATTCTTGTTTTCTTCTCTTCTCTCCCTGCCCTTGCCCATCCCACCTAATTCCATCCTGTGGCAGAACCGGGGTCGCCTGGCAGAGAAGAGGACAATCCCCTTACCTCCAACCAAGATCCCGAAGAAAGAGCTGACCTCCGTTTTCTCGCATAGCGACGACAGCGAAGAGAGCGATAAGAGCAATGGTCAGCACCCCGAAGTAAAGCAGGAGGAGGATCTCCACATCAGTATCATGAAAAGAAGGTAAATTCCTGCCAGGGAGTGCTGCATTGCAAGAGCAGAGGCAGAGAAAACTGGGCAGCGGGTGACCAGCCTTTGTGGGCTGCCAGTGGAGTCACCTCCAGGGCCTGAAGTTCAAGTGCAGATGTCACATTACAGCTCAGAAGGATTAGTTGGCTCCTCTTTGCTACTGACTCACTCCTGTTTGGGGTGAGTAGGGCTCTATGGAGCCTTGTGTTTGCACCAAGGGTGTCTGGATTTGCAGGCTGTCAGTTGTATTTCACCCTCTGTCAAGAATTCTCTGTGTCTGATGAGGCCAGAGAATTCCATGACCAGGAAGTCATCTGTAGGCTTTTTACATAACTGTTTGAAAATACACAGAGGTGTCTGGGTCCAAAGTCCTGCTTTTTACTTTCAGTTGTCTCCAGGTTGTGGTGCAATATAAACTGGATAATTCAGTGTTGGGGAACAGAGTTGGGGAAGGAGGTAGCAGCACTGATGATGTGTTACTGACTACAGGTGTCAAAGAGCATAGCTGGGTCTCACTGATCCTGAGTGTCTCTGTAGCCTGAAAGTAGAAGTACTGGAGATGCAGTAGGAAAAAGTCACTCAGATACTGGGGCACATCTCAGTTCTCATGTGTTTTGGTGGTGTCTTTCTCAGTACCATATACATTCAGCCTGGAACCATGCAGGTTTCAAAGAAGGGAAGGGATTGTCTTGAGTTACTGTCACTTGGGCTTCAGTGCCCATAATATTCAGCTGCAGAATTTTGGGTTCTCTCATCCCTCTGATAAAAGATTATGTTTAGAAGACCTGTAACTACAGGAAAATAAACACCTGAAGGCTGTGTGCCTCAGCCTCCCATGCATATCATTGCCACTCATCGTGATTGTCATCTTCCTCTGATGCATAAAATCACTCAGATTCTAAGACAAGCCCTATAAAAACAGAGGAGTGGAAACCGAAGGCATGTAATTGCTTTCCTTATGTTTTATGTGTTTCTTGCTCCTGAGCAGATAAGTTGTTCCCCCCCCTCCCCGCCCTTTGCTTTCCAACAGATGCTGGTACATTGAGCAGCTGAGGGCTTGAAAGCAGGGAGACAAAACAGTAACCAGCCCCTCTTGTAAAACCCACCTGTAATTAAAGTGTGGGGTTAGCACTGCAGCTTTGGGTCCTCATTCTTATCCTGAAACCATAAAGGTGTTTGGAGAATGCATGTGCACAGGAGCCACAGAGGGGAGGGAACCCTCCCCATCAGCTTTGGTGTCCTGCCCTTCTTCTCCTGCCCCCTTTAATTATGCCTTTAATGCTGCAGAATGACAGTGCTGGGTTGTCTCATTAGGAGGGAGAACCACACGCTCACTGTATAATTGATATGCTCGGCCCCCCAAATACAAAGTGCTCTTATCTTCAATCTTTAATTACTGTAATTGCTTTGCCTTGTTTATTAGGAAATGAAGGGAAAATACTTAATAGTTACTAGGCAGCGGTCCCTCAGCTAACCATGCCTGTGCTTTCCAATCAGTTTGGCTCAGGGTCTCTTGTTTAAGCTTTGTCTTGATTCCTTAGAGGAGGGCATAATTCTTCCCAAGTAGTTTAGACTCTCCTTGCTTTTGTACAGTTCTGCTCCTTTCCGTTTTCTGGGGAGCTCTGGTAGAGTGTATAGGGGAAGAGCTGGAATAACTGGGGCAAACAGGGGCAGGGGCTCAATGAGTGCAGTACCAACAGAGAAAGAGCACATAATTCAGTATATCCAGTGCTCCAATCCTTCAGTATTTCCAAGCATTTTATCCCTTGTGAATGGGTCTCCCAGCTTTCCTGTCCCAGACTGCCCCTTTCCACTGGTTCAAGAGCAGTGGATGGAGAGGGATGTGACTCCAGTCCCGCTGAGGAGCGCGCTCTGCCTGTTCCCAGCATCGTTATAGGGACGGGGGCGGAAGGTGTGATGGGGCTGGCTCCAGGGACAGCAGCAGCATCATAAAGGCCAGACAGCTGACAGACATGACAGCTGGGGCCCGTCAGAGACAGTGCCCCATCTGCTTGCTGCTGTTAATTCACCTGTTGTATCCTCCCCCATTGGTGATGGATTGGGCTGAGGTTTTATTGTCTCCCACTGAGAAGAAGAAATAGGTTAAACTGTGATAGCAGAAAACAAGGTCAGGGCCTGAGCAAACCTGTGTTTTCCTCTTGTTCCCCTGGATGGCCCTCGTGCACACCTGCATTCATGTGCCATTATAACCACTTGCATTGTACACTGTTGCCTTTTCTTTCATCTCCTATTCCTAATTTCCTTTATACTGACCATTTCCTTCTGCTGTTGGCACAAGGGAATGCTTTCTGCTACTTTGAGGTCTGGGCACTGGTGAAGAAAAGACTCCAGGGATTAGAATATGAGTCAGAAGCTTAGTTTCTTGGCTGGTCCCTCACCATAGCCTTTGACAGTGATTGTCTCCGTGATCTTAGGCAATTGCCCATGGTAATGGCCTTCAGAGGAGATCTGAAGCAGAGAAAGCCTGCCTCAGGATGTTCTTGCAGCCCTAGAAAGGAGCAGAGACCTGGAACTGTTACTGAAGTCAGTGCATGCCAGCTCATTTCACAGCCAAGTCCTTGCAAAACTGTGTCACTGCTGACACAGACTGTGAGCACTCAGCTCTGAAGAGGACTGGGACAGTGTTGGCAGAGGAAAATCCCTTTGCTTTTGATCACATTTCTGGTTCCTGAAGATCTGGCTCTTTTACAGCACTGCCTGCATGCACCATGGCAGCCACGTCACCTGTATGGTTATTTTGGTCCTAATGATACCGGTATAGCTGAGGTGGTACAAGAACTAGAGCAGGCTTCAATTAGAAACCTTGGCTTCATGAAGCCTTTTTCCTCACAGGCTGTGAGCTGAGCTGTCTCTTCCCAGCAAGAGAAACTAAAAGTTACAGAATCACAGAACCAGCAGCATGGGTTCATCCAGTTCCAGCCCCTGCCATGGGCAGGGACCCCTTCCACTAGAGCAGCTTGCTCCAAGCTCCTGTGTCCAACCTGGCCTTGAACACTGCCAGGGATGGGGCAGCCACAGCTTCTCTGGGCACCCTCACAGGGAAGAGCTTCTGCCTTAGATCTATCCTAAATCTGCCCTGTTTCAGTTTGAACCCATCTCCTTGTCCTGTCACTGCAGTCCCTGATGAAGAGCCCCTCTCTGGCCACAGATGCTTTTTTGTTACTGCTTGGTTTATCCTAGGCACAAAATAAGCAAAGCAGAGGAAGTTTGACATGACAAATCCCATTGCTCTTCAATGATTTGGAGAACATTAACTTCCTTGCCCTCATTGGAGCATTCCATCCAACACTGATAGATGCATTACCTCAGAAAAGCCCATGAGCTTTTCCACACTGAGGTTCAAACTGCCTTCAAGGATCTTCATTATGTTATCTCAAGAACTAGTGTAAAGCCAGCATAGCCATAGAATAAGGTTCAGCTTCAACAGGAAGATCCTCATACGCTGTTGGATTTATGCCCAGCATTGTCTTATGGTGTATGAATTGAATTTGGATTTTAAAGACTGGCATTTCTCATTAGTATGGGAGGGGAAGAGAAGGGGGGGAATGTAATGATAGCAGCTGAGATTTAAACAGGGTAGGTTAGGAACTGCTCATGCAGAGCTGTAAGTCCCCAGCCAAGTGGGATGGCTTGGCTAATAATGAGAAGCAGTAAATACTTAAGAACCTGTTTAAAGTGGTGGAATTTTTTGACCTTCCTCTGAAAGAATCCTTTGGAATATCAGTAAACATGTACAGTGAGCTGAGAGTGGGCAGGATAGCAAATGGGGCTGTAGCAGTAGGACGTGTTGGGGAGGGACTGTTCTTTAGGAACTGTAGTGATAGGACAAGGGGTAAGGGGTTAAAACTTACACAGGGGAAGTTTAGATTGGATATAAGGAAGAAGTTCTTTACTGTAAGGGTGGTGAGGCACTGGAATGGGTTGCCCAGGGAGGTTGTGAATGCTCCATCCCTGGCAGTGTTCAAGGCCAGGTTGGACAGAGCCTTGGGTGCCATGGTTTAGTGTGAAGTGCCCCTGCCCATGGCAGGGGGTTGGAACTGACTGATCTTTACGTCCTTTCCAACCCTAACTATTCTATGGTTACGGGATTCTGTGTATGGCAAAAATGCCTTGGAATTTCTTTTGTGGATTGGGAGCAAAAGGAGGAGCAGATTCTACAATGAGAGCATACAACAGGTGGGGGTTCCTTGCCTTGCCATTGCTCTGAAATGAAAGCCATTTTGAGGAGCAGTGAAAGTTGTCCTGTAACAGGGTGTCTGTGCAATGAGAAGCAGATTCCTGGAGAAGCTCATTGTGCCCTTAAATCCTTCCTCAGCTTTTTATATCACTCCTCGCACACCCAAAGCTTCTCTGGGCCTGTCAGCAGCGTGACACACATGACATTAGTGTTACTTCAGACCAGAGGAGAGCATTTGAAATGAAGATGCTTACTCAAGGAGTGATGGGACACTCTCTCCTTGCCCCTATTCAGACATGAACATGAATAGCATCCAGACAGGGGCAAGTTGCTCTCTCCCGTCCCCCAGCATCCTTCACCTCACAGACTGGTTTGACAGCAATTCTCCTCTCTCTGCCCATTTTCTAATAGTGAAATTACTGACCTGCACTAAGCCTTAATGGCTCGTGGCTGTCAGCCTTTCACCGCCTGCCTTTCTAAGTGGAAAGCTATTTCTTACATCCCATAAGGCTGCTGCTCTTTGACTCCCTAATTGATTGAAGATCAAACCCAAGCACCCCCCCCCCCATTATATTTGTCACAAGCACCTGCTTGGAATTCAGGGCTCTGAGGCCCCACTGCCTTCTCAGCTGATGTGCAGTGCACAAAACACTGCCTTTACCTTCCTCCTCTCGCTTGGCCTCTATCTGAACTGCTTCCAAACACTGGGAGCACTGCCCTGTGTGACATCCCCGCTCCCATGGAGCTGTTCCATGGCAGGATATACCACACGACGCTGCTTTTTACCTGCTGCCAAAGCCAGAGCATGGCTGGGGGCTCGGCTGAGCCGACAAGCTCTTCCAAGCAGGAGAGAAACGAGACACATGACAGAGCAGGGCTGCAGGCTCCAGCCGTGAACCAGGCTCTTAGATTAGATCCGACAGCCCTTCTTCTAATTGCTGTGACTCAAGGGGAGGGAGGCAGGGCCCCTCTTGTGGCTGGAGACATATTCTGCTGCTTTATGACACTTCTTACACAGCTTCCACCGGTTATTTGCTGTTAATCCCTTCTTCCTTCCCCTGCGACCCTTTATTTTCTATTCTCCTTTCTCTTTCCTCCCTCCTTTCCCCTTTTTCTCTCTCACTTAATAACAGTCACTGTATTCAATATATACATTAAAGAACCCTCTGGGAAGCAAAGGCTGGACATGGGCCAGAGTGCCAGGAAGCATGTCATTGCCCTAATGAGGACATACACTTCATGGGGGAGAGAGGGAGGGAAAATGGCTACTTACTTCCCAGGGATGCTGCAGGATAAAAACAGCAAGAAATCCCTTCTTGCCCAGGAAGGAGGTAGGAGAGCAAAAAGCGAGGTGAACTCTGAGAATGAAAGCAAATGAAATCTTGACCCACAAGTGCTCTCTATATCTCCTTGTATCTGACCCTTGCAACATCAATTCCATGGTGGAGAATAACCCACATGCCCCAAGTCCAGGTCTCAGTCTTGCTGCAATCTTAAGGCCATTCTTCCAGTCATCACGTATGAGGTTTCCTGGAGGGGCCAACCCTTGTTTATTGCCTGCACAAGCTTCTTTATATTGGCTGCCTGAAAACAGCATGGAATGGATACAGGGAGACTGTGGAAGCTGAGACAGTGTGGAAAGAGCAACCTGCTCTAGTGGAAGGTGTCCGTGCCCATGGCAAGGGGTTGGAACTGGATGAGCTTTAAGGTCCCATCCAGCCCAACCCAATCTAGGACTTTATGACTCTGTAATCTCTACTGAACACTTTCTAACTGCTCACACTGTGTCTGAGACCTTGGGTTGCTGGGGAGGTGGGAGAGGCAGTAGCAGCAGTAACACCTTTGCCTGGTGGTGGCTTTTATTTCTGCCCTTCCTTTTCTGTTACTAATTTGCAGGGGACTGGCTCCTGCTCCCCATGCTTTATAGAACCCAAGGACGGGCTTGTGTAGCTGATAGTTTGCAAATGATTAGTAATTTGATTTCAGTTGGACGAATGACCCCTTACAGCAAGATGTACATCAGCCTCAGGAATCTAATTGGTGGTAACGGTGTAGAGAGTACTTGGTTCTGCTCCTCATCCCGCCCTCCTCCCACCCCCAAAAAAAGATAATGAGAATTTAATTTCATTCTCACCTATCCATTTGTCTAAATATGGGTGTTTAATTATCCATCTCGGCAGATAGATGTTTCTGCCCCCGTGTGGATCTGAGCTATTCCCTTGGGATGAGGTGTGTGTCCCCCCCCCTTACAACTCCCTGATGCACTGTTCTTATACTTTGAGGTTTAGCTGTGCTGTCTCATGTATGAGATGTGCTTTTGCCTGGCTCTAGGATCACGCTCTGCAGCCTGCCCATGTCAGTACCTGTAGTAGACAATGAGAAGTTACATCCTGTGGGAGGCTGAGTTTAACATAGAGATGAAACCCTGAGTGGAGAGCCCGCAGCCCAGGCAAGCTCCTGCTCTGCTCTTAGTTCCCTTTGCTGCCTGAGCACATCATTGCAGCCCTGCTCTGAGAGTCCAGGATGAAAAACACTCCTTTACCTGCCAGGTAAAGTAGGTGCATTCTACTACATGTTGTGAGCCCAAGGGACAGGCATGTAGTTAGCTGAGCTTTGGTGGTAGAGCAGAACAGGGTTACTTATACCCCCGTTGTTAGGCTCTGAACACTGCTTGGAGGAAATGCATGTTGCCTCCTGAGGCCCATGGGGCAGGTTACCTTAAGCACAGGTTTGCTGAACTGAAAACATGACCAGGAAAGGGATCATGGGGTTCTCATGAATCAGAAACATGGCTTTTAACATATCTATAACTCAGCATAAACAGGAGAAGCACAAGGTTCCTTTTCAGCAGTTTCAGTTCCAGCTGGTTCCGCAGTGTTCATCACTGGGCAGTGTTTGGAGCTCTCCCAAGGATCTTATCTGCACAGTGCAAGGTGTTGAGCTGGAATTAAAGGGGGTTTATAAAGGTTTTGTGGATGAGAAAACCTTGTATTGGAGGGAGCAGTGTGGAATCAGGCTGGCCACCCAGTTCCGCTCTCATGTGAGCAGGCCAGACCCTTCTGTGCCTGTCAGCCCCATCAGGGCGCTTTGAATTGGCTTTGAACTTTGGACTCAGAGCAGCTTACCTGGAAAGCCCAAATGTGTCCCAGAGCAGCTTACCTGGAAAGCCCAAATGTGTCCCAGAGCTTGGCCACACTTCAGTTCATGGAAACACTACTCAGTGCCCCAGTTTGGTCTGTTTTAAATGTCTGGAGTTTCACTTTGAAGAACAACTGTTACTGCTGTAAGCTCAGCAGCTGGGAAGTACCTGTTCCATTTCTATTTGCAAATAAAATGCTGGGAAGATGGAAAGCTGGGATAGGTCTTTTAAATTGTTCTATATGAGGAAGAAAAATAGGAAAAACCGGGAACAATTGGAATTACTGAGTACGGCTCTGAGCATAGCTTCGTTGGTGGAAGGTGATATCTACCATAATCTAATCAACCCCTAAAAGAACTTCTCAGAGCAACCAGGCTGCCTTCCTGAGAGCACACCAGGAATGCTATCACATTAGTAAAACCTGCAGCACCATCCTGTCTTGGATGTGAAATTGTTTCCGTGCTAAGGGTTGTTTTCAGTTGATTTCTGAGCCAGGCTGAGGCAGAGGCACCCATTCAGGGAAGCACTTAAACAGACACTCTAAACCTGAGTTAAGTCCCATTGACTTCCCTGGTCATGCTTAAGTGCTTTCTGGCCCAATTCAAAGCGCATTCAAATAGGGAGAAAGGCTCTCTTTCACTTCAGCAGGCTTTAGATTAGGTTGCTTCTGCAGTCAGGTGGTCTTCAGCTACACACTTGCTTTTTCTAGCTGAGGACAGGGGCAGGAATGCTGTTGGGATACACAAAATGCACAAAAGTACATTTGGCTTCTGCTGCTTGTCGTCTTTTCAGCCACTTCTGTTTAATGCATTTGGGAGCCTACATCTGCAGGAGCTGATTTATACACACAGCTAAGAACCAGCATGTTCACTGCCTGATGCTGAGAGATGTGGGAGTGGGTTTGTGCAAGGAGCCAGGCTCAGATGGATGGGATTCTCATCCATCATGTTGTCATGGAGAAACAGTGGTGGCCACAGAGCACTGGGCTGGTGGTGGGGGGTCAGTGCTCGAGTGGAGACACCAGACCACAGAAGGTCAAGCATCTGCCTTAGCCCTCTGGGTCGGTGTGGATGCTGTCGAGTAGCAAGAGAGAAAAAGCTGAACAACAGCAAAACCCCAAGTCCCTTGGCTGCTGTGTGTTAATTCAGAACATTGTTCATCCAGAAGCTGCTGTTCCTGCTTGTCAGCAGCAGAGTGACAGAATCCGTGGAATTAATTTCCGAGGTGGGAAATGGCTAATAATTTATTTACAGCTGGGGTGGGTGCGGAGGAGGGAACGCAGCACAGCCACGTTTGGGTTTCCTTCAGGAAATGTCACTGCTTAGCTCTTGCTGCTTCCTCAGAACGTGCCCTATTAGTGGAGACAGCATCCTGCAGTCCCCACACCTATTAGAGAGGCTGCATGCAGCAAGGAGGAGTTCTCTCACCGCTGTACAGCTCACCTGCAGGGCTCATTTACAGCAGTGGGTCCTGCTGTGGGCATGCAGGACTCGTGTGTGTGCAGTGCAGCACCCCATGGCTCAGGAGGGGGCTGTAGTTGTGGTTGAGAGCTAGGCAGAGGGACCATGGGTGGGTTGTTATGAGGGAGCAGATCTGTTAAGTGGCAAGAGATGCAGTGCATGTGCCATTGACCTCTCTGTTTGTTTGTCAACAGGATACACACCCACTGGGATTTAAACATCTCCTTCCGAGAGACCTCTTGCAGGTACCATTTTGGGGCACCCTCTTTGTATGGTAGGCTAAGAGTTTATGATCTGTTACTGGCATATGGATGCTGTTAGATGTAAATGAACGTTTCTGTCAGTGCTGTGGGGTTTTTTTTCTTCCTCCTTTGTTCCTTTTTCCTCCCCTTACAAATCCTTTCTTTGTATTTCGGGGACATTGTCTGTTGGGGGGGAAACAGTCTCTTATGTTGGGAGAGAGAATTGATTAGACTGAAGAAAGCCCATTATTGATTTATATGTCTGCTTTAGTTCCTTTTTGGAAGCATGCAAGGTTGGGGTGGCCCAGATCTATATCCCAACATGAGACATGGGAATCTGCATCTCATGTGCAGAAGTGATTCTTTGTGCAGAAGGCTCATTGAAGGCCATAGTAACTGATGCTCCTGAGTTGCTCAGGAGTTGTGTTTAGCCAGCTTAACTCAGTGCTACCTGTAAAGGTGGCACAAATGGCAAGAATCACTGGGTGAAAGATGCTTTAGATAATGTGGTAACCCTGGGACACCCTGGTCCTGCAAAAACCTTAAGCATGTAGTCATTCAACTGCAGTGTATGAAGTGTTGTAACCGATAGGACTCTGCATTTGACACTGTGAAGTGTGACTGGGTTGAAATACAGCTGCAAAAGTGCATTGCAAGAGGATTTATGAGTGGGTAGAAGTTGACATTCAAATGACAAGTGTTTTACAAAGCATAAATACAAGAAATGAGGTAAGAGTCTGAATTGTGAGAGGAGAAGGATTGCCAAACCAGTGGTGGATTGGGTTTGAGGTCTGGTTTCCTGCACTCACAGATCCCTAAGAAAGTGGAAATTCATCAGTGGAAGATACCCAGTTACAGACATGAGTATTCCTTTGTGACCTCTGGTCAGTTGATACACCCTGAACGTGGTGCATTTTCATTGGTAATAGTCACAAACTTCTCTAATCCTTTAAAATGTAGCTGCAGAATTTGCACTAGAAGAAGAAAACTGGCATTTTGAACCTCGGTTTATGCTGAATCAGAGTGAAATAGCTGAGTCTGGTATTAATGAATTTGCGCAGCAGAGAAGGAGGTAGATGGGTGTAGAAGAGTCCAGAATCTGGTTCTGTATGTGCTGCATACACACGGATACTGTAGGAAGCAGGATCTGGTCCATTGGATCTGCCTGCAAGTAGCAGTCCACTGAGAGCATCTTTGTTTTTGCTAGAAGTAGTTTATGATGCTGTGTGTGAACTTCCTGCTCTTCAAAACAGTAGAAAAATGGTGCTACTACTACTGGTACTACTACTGCTACTAGTGCTACTACTACCACTGCATGCTAGACACTACACATACATTTAAGAAATGATTCGTGCTCTGTAGAGAGCAGCTTGTCTGAGCAAGGGAGTGCAAATAAATTTATCTGATGACTTCTGTGACCAGAGTTAATGTGTGTAAGACTCAGTGCAGCAAATGTAGTGTTGACTTAAGAGAACATTGTTTAAGAGCTTTAGGGAGACGTACCCATCCATACTGTGGGGGGTGTGGGCATCTCTGTTGTACACACTATTTGCACATACACCCACTCACTCCCTGCTCCAGCCTGAGGACAAGCTGGACTGTTTTGTTGCCAGCATTGGTGGGTGAAGGTTGTAGCCTGAACAGTGCCTGTGGAGGGACAAGTCCATCTCTGCTTCATTGAGTGCTAGGGTATGAATTATGTCCTGGCATCCCCATGAGGCTCAGGGGAGGCCGTGAGGAGTGAAGGGTGGGAAAGCTGCGCTGATTCACACCCCATTAGGGAGTGAATGAGGGCAGAGGTACTCACTGGTATGTATGTAAGCACAGACTTTGGCCCTGAAGCATAAACCCCCATAACTCCTAAAATTGACAATGTTAAGGATACAAAACCCACCCGGATCAGGGAGCATCTGGAAGCTGGTCTAGAAAGCACATCTCATGCAGCACTTGTATAAAAACCCACTGAGGGAGGGGGTTTATATGGCAGCCTTTAGACTAAAATCCCTGGTTTGTTGCTATGAGCTTTTGGGGCTAAAATACAAAGGGATGGATTCCTTCCAGCAGAACCTTGCATGATGAATTTCAGCCCAGAGCACAGTTTTACAATTGGGTTATAAATTCCTAAAAGAGGGAGCTTTGTAGTGGAAGCACTGACACAAGCCTTAAGTAGTAGCCGTGTGAAGCAGGATCCTGCACGAAGGGTGCAAACACCTTTGGAAATGAGAATCCCTGTCTTAAAAAAGGATTTGAATCTGATCTTCCAGTGCATAGAATAAAGTAACGGTCTGGTTTTTACATCAAATGCACTTCTTCAGACTCCTCAGTTTAAGTGTTTGTGCCCTTCAGTTTAGCTCTCTCCGGGCAGAAGCATTGGTAGCTCCTCCTGGGAATAGAAGTTTTGCAGATTAAACAGTCCAACTATCTAAAGTCATTCATCAAGGTCAGAAGAAAACAACAGGCAATGCGCTGTGTGGCAGAGAAAGACAAATGTGTTGGCACAGAAAAGGGTTGTATGTATTTAAGTGACCTGCATTGCCACATGGTTCTGTGTACATACATCATGGGGTGGCAAAGAGGTTTAGCTGACCCCTGTTCTCAGGGCCCTGTGTGGGGGGACGTGGACGTGGGAGTTAACACAGGTCATCCCAAAGCCATGCCGGGACATCACTAGGGTGTGGATACACACAGACACTGTGCTGCTTTAATCAAGCAGGGCTGAGAGTTGCCATCTTCATTTCCCTGCCCCTTTGGCATAAGGTTGTCTTTGATCTTCCTTTCCAAGTTGACAGGAAATACCTGGATTCATTGGTTTCCACCTTGGGATTGCTGTCTGCATTGTCCTGGATAAAAAGACATTTAATTGGGTACAAGTCGTTCTGTATGCAACAAACCAAAAGCTCCAGGTAGGAGAATTGTCCTCAAAGGAGAGATTAGGATCTCTTCTTGTCTTGCCAGATGCTTTGCTCCCTTCCCTTTTAAGCTTGGAGGTTAATACAGGTGTGAGGCTTTGTTTATAGCTAGTCTTCCTTGAAAATTCCCTTTTTAAGGTAGAATTTCCTTATCTGGACGTGTCATTCCTGGAATAATTGCTGAAATGTGTTCAAGTTGCTCAGTAAGTGATGCACTTCCTTTATTCTCCAATACTAAACCCAAGGTTAAAGCCCAGTCTGTGTCTGCTCTGTGCTCCCCTCGATTCCAGTGTCTGTCACAGTTGCTCAGCACCACGGGCAGGATTTACCTTCCTGAGGCTGAGGCATCTCATGAAAACAAATTGTGGACTAAAAAGGAGTTCCAGGCAGGAAAAGGATTTTCCTTCTATTTCTTGCCACTTGATGTCCTGAGGGAATTGCAGGGAGGTGAGTGAGAAATAGATAAGAGGCCATGCATGTTAATGCCATGGAGGGATGCAGCTCCGGGTGGAATAAGCATTTTGCCCACCTGAGAATTTGAAGGCACTGACAGTGCAATTAAACCATGCCTGTTTCCAAGGGAGTGGAGAGTTTTTCACTGGTGCCCTTGTTAAGATGACCTGAATGGCAGGAAAGGAGATGCTGCGTAATTTGGTTCAAGCTGCATACAAAGACAAGGAGCAGAGAATTGAGCCCCATGCTTTAGCTTTGGCTGCATGGTAAGCAAACCCTGACAGCGTATCCAAGGCAGCATAAGTCCTGTGCCGGTGCAGGCATAAACCAGTGACAAAGGAGCATGCAGGAGTGTCTCTTCACTGCCATATGAACAAAAAGCCACTTGAGGGGCACTCCAAGCTTACTGGGGATGGTTTTAGCCAGGTCTCTCCTACATGAAGGCTGCCTAAGGAGATGGAAGGAAAACAAAAGCACTGTTTGCCCAGAGCAAGCAAAATGCATTTAACAAGCACAGTTTAAACAAAGATTACAGTGGTGTGTAACCAGCCTTTCTGGATGGGCATGAGCCACATTAGAATGTGTTTGAGACGGACTTTTGGCCAAGAGCCTGTGTATCCGTGTGTATGTGTATGTTTAAGTTGGACTATAACATACTTAGGGCCTTTCCACCTTGGTTTAATCCTGGCATCAGCTCTTACTTGGCCAGAACTGGGTTTCAACAGTGCTTAAATTGGGTTGTTGTAGGTACATGTTACGTTTTAGGAACTTGTATTTAAGGAGGAATTAAACAGGTTGGTCAAGAAGGAAGAGGACATGAAACAAATCAGGCCAAGTGGAAGAAGTGGGTGAAAAATGCATGGGAAATGGGACAGCAGAAGCAAACTGAAGGGGAATTCACTGACTTAGTTCATGCCTTTGGACAGATACACATGGTGAGTAAAGGAAAACAGGAGAGGAGAATCGAAAAGTAGGCAGTTTGGGTCATGTCAAGGCCAATCCTGACTCAGCAGGAAGTATTACTGTGTGATACAGGTAACGTTACCAAGTGCCGGAGCATCCTGCTGCTCTGCCCTTTAAGGATTGATAGAGGATGGCTTCTGGGCTGTCTACTTATTTATTTAGTTCTTTATTTTCCATTGTAAGCTTTTGCCTTTTAATCCAGAAGAACTGAAGTAGGCACTGAAAGGTCACAAGTTTTTAGCAGCTGGAAGCTGGATGTGTCCCCTTAACACCCTGCAGCCTTTAGCATCCGCTGCTGGAAGAGCTGGTGCCTGTAAGTTCCAGGGAAAACCAGACAGTGGCAGAGGGACAAGAGAGCCCTCAAATGGGGACCTGTCTTCACCCTGCCCTGCCAGTCTCTGGTTTCTACCTCCACACCAACAGGCAGCAGGGCTGGAGCAGTAGCCCCAGTTGCAAAAGCTGATTGTGAGCTGAACTAAAGAGAAGGAGGTGATTTTTGCCCCTCAGATTTGAGTCAGGGCAGAGAACACTGATGGAATAGCAACTGTATGGAGAGCTGCAGAGCTGCTTCCATAACTCATGGTGACTTTGGAGGACAGCTCTTGACTGTATGCTAGGGAAAGCTTAAAGAGATCCCAGTGAAACGCTGTAGAATGTATTAACCATGACTTCTGCACT